ATCATAGGTAGAAAACGTTATCCTAAAGAATTTTTTGTTTTTTAGAGACACAGTCTAGCTTTATCACCCTTGGTAGAGTGCTGTTATGTCACAGCTCACAGCAACCTCCAGCTCTTGGGCTTAGGCGCCTCAGCCTCCCGAGTAGCTGGGACTACAGGTGCCTGCCAGAACGCCCAGCTATTTTTTTTTTTGTTGTTGCAGCTTGGCTGGGGCCGGGTTCAAACCCACCACCCTCAGTATATGGGGCCGGCGCCCTACTCACTGAGCCACAAACACTGTCCTATCTTAAAGAATTTTAACTTCCATTTTTCTTTATACAAATGAGGATGCATTTTTTTCATATGATTAAGGAGCCATTTTTACTTCCTTTTCTGTGAACTATCTTCATTTTTCTATTAGGTTGTAGGACCTTCGTATTGGGTTCTGGAATATTAAGGAGATTAGCCTTTTGTCTATAATAAATGTTGAGACTATTTCTTCCTTGTTAGTAACTACCCTTTTGACTTTTCTTAGGGTGCTTTAGCCAACCAAAGTCTTTTTTTCCTTTGTTTATTTTTCTTTTTTCAGAGACAGAGTATCATTTTGTTGCCCTCAGTAGGATGCCCTGGCACCAGAGCTCAACACAGCCTCAAACTCTTGGGCTCAAGTGATTCTCTTACCTCAGCCTTCTGAGCAGCTGGGACTACGGGCCCCTTCCATGATGCTCTACTTTTATTTTTAGAGACAGGGTCTCACTCTTGCTCAGGCTGGTCTTTAAATCCTGAGCTCAAGCAATGCACCTGCTTTGGCCTCCCAGAGTGCTAGGGTAACAGGCATGAGCCACAGTGCCTAGAACCAACCTTTTTTATAGTCACAGCTTCTGGATTTGGAGTAATAGAAAGGCCACTGCCTCTTCCTCCTTCCTCTTTTTCCTTCTTCTCCTTTTCTTCCTTCCTCTTTTTTCTCCTTCTCCTTTATTTTTTTGAGACAAGGTCATGTTCCGTCACCCAGGCTGGAGAGCAGTGGCTCTCTGAAGCCTTTAGGTCCCTAGGCTCAAGCAATCTTCCTTCCTCAGCCTCCCAAGCAGCTGGGACTACAGGTGTGCCCTCAAGCCCAGCTAATTTTTCTATTTTTTTGTAGAGACAGGATCTGGCTATGGTGCCCAGGTTAGTCTTGAACCTGCCTCTGCCTCCCAGTCTCAAAGTGCTGGTATTACAGGTGTAAGCCACCGTACCTGGCCAGAAAGCCTTCTTTACTTCAATATTAAAAAGGTATTCCTGGCTCGGTGCCTGTGGCTCAAGTGGCTAAGGTGCCAGCCACATACACCTGAACTGGCGGGTGCAAATCCAGCCTGGGCCGCCAAACAACAATGATGGCTGCAACCAAAAAATAGCCAAGCATTGTGGTGGGCGCCTGTATTCCCAGCTACTTGGGAGGCTGAGGCAGGAGACTCGCTTGAGCCTAGGAATTGGAGGTTGCTGTAAGCTGTGATGCCACAGCACTCTACCCAGGGCAACAGCTTGAGGCTCTGTCTCAAAAGTAAAAAAAAAAGTATTCCCTGGTGCCTCAGCGCATGTAGCTCAAGCTGCTAAGGTGCCAGCCACATACACCAAGGCTAGCAGTTCGAATCCAGCCCAGTCCTGCCAAACAACAGTGACAACTATAATCAAATAATAGCCTGGAGTTGTAGCGGGTGCCTGTAGTCCCAGCTACTTGGGAGTGTGAGGCAAGAGGATCGCTTAAGTCCAAAAGTTTGAGGTTGCTGTGAGCAGTGATGCCACAGTACTCCACTGAGGGCAACAGCTTGAAACTCTGTCTCAAAAAGAAAAAAACTGAGTGGCGCCTGTGGCTCTGTGGGTAAGGCGCCAGCACCATTTACCAAGGGTGGTGGGTTCAAACCCAGCTCTGGCCAAACTACAACAAAAAAAATAAAATAGCTGGGTGTTGTGGCGGGTACCTATAGTTCTAGCTACTCAGGAAGCTGAGGCAAGAGAATCACTTGAGCCCAGGAGTTGGAGGTTGCTGTGAGGCTGTGATATCACGGCACTCTACTGAGGGCAACAAAGTGAGACTCTGGCTCTACAAAAATAAATAAATAAATAAATAAATAAGTTATTTCCTGGTTCAGTGCCTGTAGCTTACTGGTTAGGGCTCCGGCCACATACACCAGGGCTGGTGGTTGGAATCTAGCTCAGGCCTGCTAAACAATGATACCACAATGAAAAAAATATCCAGCGCCTGTAGTCCTAGCTACTTGGGAAGCTGAGGCAAGAGAAATCACTTGAGCCCTGGAGTCTGAGGTTGCTATGAGCTGTGACACCACAGCACTCTTCTGAGGGCGACATAGTGAGACTGTTTCAGAAAAAAAGAAATAAAATGGTATTTCCTCATGTTTTACTCCTGTCTTTTTACAATTCCATGGTTATACGCTCATTTTTTTTATTAGGATGTTATAGATCTAATTTTATATTTCTTCAGATGTGTATATTTTTGTCTTAACCCCATTAATTGAACAGCCCATCATTATCCTCAGTGATTTGAGATGCTGTTTTTATCAGACACCAACTTTCCAAAATTATTTGGGTACATTTTCAGATTGTGTATTACATTTTACACTATTCACGTACTACCGACACACTGCTTAAATGATTGATGCTTTTAAATATAAATAAATATATACACATATATATAGTGTGTGTGTGAGTGTGTTTGAGAGAGAGACAGAGTGTCATTATGTTGCCCTCGGTAGAGTACTGTGGTGTCACAGCTCACAGCAACCTCAAACTCCTGGGCTTAAGTGATTCTCTTGCCTCAGCCTCCCAAGTAGCTGGGACTACAGGCACCTGCCGCAATGCCCGGATATTTTTTGGTTGCAGTTGTCATTGTTGTTCAGCAGGCCAGGGCTGGGCTTAACCCCGCCAGCCTCAGTGTATGTGGCCGGCACCCTACTCAGAGCTATGCACCAAGCCTAAATATATTTTTATGTCTGGCAGGTGTAGTGGCCTCCTCCCTATTACTCTTTATTTTCAAAGTTTTCCTGGCCGGAAATTTCTTACATTTGATGTTTCTTATTAATTTTCTCCCCATATTTAAACAGAATTAGTTCAGTTAAAATAATTATTGGCATTTTATTGGGATTGTGTTAAATTCATAAATTTAGGGAAAAGTGACACCTTCCTGATGTTAGATCTACTTATCCAAGAATGTGACATTTTCCCCCACGAGTTCAGTGAGGGTTCTTATGTGCCCTTCGCAAATTATTTAAAATTTTGTTCACAAAGATATTGCACCATCTTTTAAAAGTTTATTAGGGTGGTGCCTGTGGCTCAAAAGGGTAGGGTGCCGGCCCCAAATGCCGGAGGTGGCGGATTCAAACTCAGCCCTGGCCAAAAAAAAAGTTTATTACTAGGCACAATGTGACTTTATTACTAGGCACATACAAGTTCTGTTTAAAAACATATATATATATCTATATATAACACAGTTCTTTGGGTGAAGACACCAAGATTTGGGGCTTTTTACTGAAGCACTTCCAGGCTATCCCGCCAGATACAAGTGATTAAAAACAGGCCTCTCAAAATGCATGTAGGAGCAGGGGAGAATTCCATGCGGAGATGGAGATGAGGAGAGGGCTGATGGCATTCTGTAGTTACAGAACTTAATGTATTTTCAAAACGGAAATCGTGGGACCCAAATCACCACGGTGTTTATATACCAATGGATATACGAAAAAGCGTAACGTGCCAATTGTACTCAAAATTGTCATTTACAGCGCCCTAGAAATCACGTCCTTTCCAACTGTTCCTCCCCACCCTTAAATCTGACAGATACTACCCGAAGCACCCTCAGTGTTCGGAACCGCAGCTGGCAGCGCAGATGTGGCTGCTCCCGCTCGGGCGGGCGCGGGGACTCGCCGGCACAGGCCACCGCGGTCCGCTCCGGGGCCCCGCCGGGCGCGGCTCCCACCGCCGCGGCAGAGAAGCCGGGCCTTCGATACGGGGAGTCCTCGTCTGCCCCGGGCCTCTCTTGAGCAGCCATGCGTTCTGGAAGTCAGTCAAGATGGGCGCTTGTAAGACGAGTCGTCACTGGCGCTGCAGGACTTCGGGACCGCAGAGCGCTCAAGTAGCGCCGCGCCCGGCTCAGGTCTATCGCCCCGCGGCTCTCACGGCCCCGCACGCGGGCGTCTGGGTCTGCACAGAGCCTCCGGCCGTGCGGGGCTGCCTCAAGCACTTTCCTTGCAAAAAGTGAAAACAAAGCTATAACTATGTTCCGACATGTTATTTCTCCTTGATAACATGTGTTATGTGATAGTCACAGCAGTGACAGGCGCGTTACGCCGCGCGAAGTGAAACACTCCCCACTTAACACCGGCCAGGTTTCCCCGGATCGGCACCCGCACGCACGAGTCCATCCGGGCGCTTCACAGACGCCGAGGGAGCGCGCACGCCGCTGGGTCACGTGCCCGGCGCGCCCCCGTTGCCGCGCGCCCCGGGCGGAAGTGAAGTCGGTGGCTCGGGTGGCTGCGCAGCGTCGGCGGGGAGCGCGGGCTGCGGAGAGGCGGGCCGGGCCGAGCCAAGAGAG